CGGTCAAAGGGAGAAACCGAATGTCCCGCTAAATGACCGGCGAGTAAAGAGGTATTCTGTACCACAGCAGAAAATAAAATTCGTCAAACAGGAAAAAAGTGCGGCGAAACTTGTATCGCGCAATTTGCACAATAAAAACATTCAATACGGATCATTTTCGATCTGCTCCAACCAATAAAAGAAGGTAAAGAGAGAGTAAAACACTGCAAGAAACCTCGATGCCGGAGCTGTGGTGATGACTGCTGCTGATTGCTGTTCATGTGCGCCTGCTATTTCGGTTTCGTTATCTGTCACCATTTTGCGGATGGCATCCAGAGCAGTTGACGGTACATCCTTCACAGCCTCATCATCGGCGTCAGCTAGTAAGGCACCAAAGGCTAAAAAATGCATCAGTTTGCTTGCCATGCATAAAAAACGCAAAAAAAAAAGACGTGCTTCCATACTTTTGCTGCTAATTCTCGGGGTATCAGTGATCACTTGCTTCTTTTCTTCAGTTTTACCAATGCTACTGCTTGTTTCGGCCTTTTGCGCAACCACCTGCAATAAATGCCATATGAGAAGGCTGAAGAAATGCAAACAATCGCTCATCAGCTCAGAAGCTCTTTTTTTGTACCTTGAACAGCTCGTTGATGCTTTGTTCCTCATGATTAGTAAGTGTTTTCGATAATTTTGGTCGTGGCGATGCTGGATGCGAATTTTTCTCATCGCTTTTAACACTTTTCGCCTCCGAAACTACTTTATCCCATGAGTCTGCCAATTCCTGGACCGGATCGAGCCCAACATCCTTTGTCAGTACTTGGTCTGTCTGAGAACCCATTGTTTCGACGTAAATCTGCAACATTTTCGTAAAAACTATAAATTAATGTTTTCATTACAAAAACCTTCTGCATCCATTTTTTACATACATCCAAAACCAACAAAAATTCCCCATGTGAAAAACCAAAATCCAAATCTTTTGTAAAAACTATGCTCTTTCGGGTAGTACAGCAAACAAATATTCTTGCAGGCAAATTCTTTACGAATCACTTACTGCTCTTCCTCTTCCTTCCTTCACAAAATGACTGTGATAGTGCACGGCCAAGGACGACTGCGCTTCATAGCGATGCCCACAACCTGCCACCGGACAGGAATACATTGCGGACGAC